CATATTAAAAGGACTATACACTATGACCAAATGGGATTTGTCTGAGGAATGCAAAGGTGGTTCAAAATTAGACAGTCAATATAATACACCATGTTAATGGAATGAAAGAAAATAACCAAAGATAGAAAAGGCATTTCACAAAATCCAACATGCTTTCATGATAAAAACCCTCAACAAACTAGGAATAGAAGGGAAATTCCTCCACAAGATAAAGGGCATTTATGAAAAGCCCATATTCAACAGTAAAAACAAAAAGCTTTCCCCCTACGACCAGGAATAAGACAAAGATGTCCACTTTCACCACAGATAAATTGGACTTCATTAAAATTTAAAACTTTTGTGCATACAAGAACTTTATCCAGAAAGTAAAGAAACAACCTACAGAACTTGAGAAAATATTTGGAAACCATGTATCTGATAAGGGTTTAATACTCAGAATACATAAAGAACTCCTACAAATCAACAACAAAAAGACAAACAACTCAAATCAAAAATGTGCAAAGGATGTGAACAGACATTTCTCTGTAAAAGATACACAAGTGGCCACTAAGCACAGGAAACAACAGTCAACATTATTAGTCAATATGAGATGCAAATCAAAACCGCAATTGAGATACCACTTCATATCCACCAGGATGACTATTGTTTGAAAAACAGAAGGTAACAAGTGTTGGCAAAGACATGGATAAATTGGAACCTTCACCCGTTGCTGGTGGGAATGTAAAATGGTAAAGCTGCTGTGGAAAACAGCTTGGAGCTTCCTCAAAACTTAAACATAGAATTACTATACAGTTCATCATTTCTCCTCCTACATATATACCCAAAAGAATTGAAAGCAGGAACTCAAATAGATACTTGTACACTAATGTTCACTGTAGCATTATTCACAATAGCCAAAAGGTGGAAACAACCCAAAGGACCATCAACAGATGAATGGAAAAACAAAATGTGATATATATATATATACATATTTAATGTTACTCAGCCATAAAGAAACTGAAGTTCTGATACATGCTACGACATGGATATGAACATTGAAAACATTATGCTAAGTGAAATAAGTCAGACACCGAAGGACAAAAAACATGATCCCACTTAAAGTGAAATATCACAGAATAAGCAAATGCAAAGAGACAAAAGTTTATTAGTAGTTACCAGGAACTAGGAGGTGGGAGAAATGAGGAGTTATTGCTTAACAGATACTGAGTTTCTGTCTGGGGTGATGAAACACTTTTGGAAATAGACAGTAATGATGGTTTCACAACATGGTCAAAAAACAACAA